ATGGTTAAACTAGCATGGAGCTGATCTAATTTCATAGCACCGATAAGATGGCAGATGGTATTCAATGCAGTTACCGTAAGTGCTGTTCAAAGATAAGATTTAGTAGGTGTGTTCCTTTTGTGATAAATGAAGGTGTGTTGGTGACACCGTTACATGGCCTACTGTGACTTCTCCATTGTGTTTCAGTCTCCGTTTATCTGTGCCGTCCCTCTTTTCTGTGCTGTCGTGTTGCAGGAGCTTTAATTAATCTCCAGGGGTTCCAAGATAGACACTCTCTAGGGTTGTTTCCTTGAAAACCAAAGGTTATGAGACCCTCCATTGTCAAACCCACAGTCATTATCTCCATCCCTAACTGGATGCTAGCCAAGTCTCTCTGTAGAGTTAATGATCAAGTGTTGAGTCAAGGGCAAGGCAGAAACTGCCGCTGCATATACCTGCCAACAATACGCACCTCCAACTGTGTGGGTGTTTGGGTGTGGAAGCCTCGAACCTTGTTGTATCTGTGCCGTGGCAGTTGAGAAAATAGTGCCCAGAAGTTTCCCAAGAATGAACCTTTGAGAAGGATGCTTTCACTGGAAAGAACAGCACAACCCCAAGCATGTTTACTTAGAGGTCGGTACAATCAAGTTGAAGAGGGTTTGCTTCTTAGTGCTTAGGGTTGTTGCTGTTGCTGTTGCTGTTGTTGTTGTTGTGTGCCTTCAAGTCATTTCCAACTTATGGTGACCCTAAGATGCACCTATAACAGGGGTTTCTTGGAAATATTTGTTCAGAAGGGGTTGGCCTTTGCCTTGCTGTGAGGATGAGAGAGTGTGACTTGGCCAAGGTCACCCAGTGGGTTTCCATGGCTGAGTGGGGATTTGTTTTTGTTTTAAAGAGTTTTGAACTTTAAATTTTAATAATGTAATGTTTTAAATTGTTTTTTTAAAAAAACTTTGAATTTTTAATGTTTTATACTGTTTTAACTTGGACTGTTTTAGATTTGCTAGACACCTTGAGTCCCAGTACTGGGAGGAAGGCAGGATATAAATAAACAGAATAATAACAACAACAACCCTGGTCTTCAGAGTCATAGTCCAATGCTCAAACCACTATATCACACTGACTTAAGTTTGAAGATGAAATATTCAAATATGCTAAATCAAATTGTTGAATACATAACACCCAACCTTATTTTTTCTTAGCATAATGCACCAGGAGATTGCATATTTAATTTCTCTTTACTGGTATGATTTAGCATATTTAAACATATGCTAAACGTTATTCATATTTTTAACTTAATCCATCTGGAGAAAACTATATGGATTTGAGAACAAATAAAGCCTCTGGTCTTACTAGAAACCAAAAGGACAGGTGAAGCAATTGTACTTTGGACATAACATGAAACAACATGACTTACTGGAAATTACAATAATGCCAGGAGAGGTGGAAACAGAAAGAGAAGAAGATTAAATGACAGTTGGATTGATTCAATCAAGGAAACCATGGCTGCCTTGGGTTTGCAAGACCTTTGCAGGGCTATTGAGGACAGAAGGTCTTGGGGTTCTTCCATTCATAGAGTCACCATAAGTCAATGGCAAATAACAAAAATCTGAACAGTCTCCCCTCTAAAATGAGAAGGCAATGAAACTCCTGCGTGGGCATCATTACTACAATGGAACCTCCACATTTGCTAGGGTTTTTAAAAGAGATAATACCTCTCTAGGAATCCCTAGGTCCTCCAGCTCACATCTATGGTTAAAATCTGCCAGAGGTTGACCATAGAATTGCACTGGAGGACCTACAAATGCCTAGAGGAGTCTTCTCTCAAGGAATCTCCAGGTCCTGCAGCACAAGTTCTGGTGAATGTTGATCATAGAGTTGCACTGGAGGACCTAAATATTCCTAGAGCGAACATATTAATAAAATCTGTGAATAATAAAATCTGCAAAAATCAAAGCAACACGTGTGAAGGGATGACTGTGCTAACATTATTAGTACAGAAGACTTTCCTAGTAGATAGAGAAGAGAGAATGACTATTTAAACAAGGTCAATATAGCAGTCAATTCATGGATGCCACTTTCTCAATCATCACTTTTATTTAGCAATGCAAACATCATTGATCATGCATACAAGTTGACATCTGACATCTGTTAGCTGTCTTTTCCATTTGTTGCATAGGAACATTGTCACAATATATAAATCTATGCAGTACAAAATTTTTTAAAAAAGATTACAGCAGAGGAAATAGAGATCTGCATATGGCTGTACAACTGCAATACTTCAATGTAGTGATTCATTAAAAAAAGAAATCCAAAAAGTGACTCATGAAAGCAATGAAATGCTGTCAAGAAAACGGAGGAGGAGAAATGGTGACCAGAACTGTCATTTTTTGCCCCAAAGTGAGGATAAGTGTGTAAACATGTATAATATCCACATACTTTCATTCATGTACTGACACAGAGAAAATTATATATGTCTCCATAGCAGTCTATATATGTATGCACAAGTAATTATACACAGTATACTAACGTCAACAGAAACTGGGCTTGGGAAATAGTCGACACATTGCATTTGCTGCACAGAAAAGTTCTCTATACATCCCTGTTACCTCTACAGTATTGCTGGTGACCCCCAAAACCTGAATTGGTAGCAATAGTAGAGAATATTTCTGGAAAATGAGGAAGACCAAACCAAAAACAAAATTGACATTTGCTCCCCGTCTCCCATTTTTCTCTCTGTCTCTCCTTGTAATTTTTCCCCTTTGTGATTCTCTTGCCAAATGTTGGGAAAGTTGCTTTTATGAACTATAACTCCCAGAATCTCCAGTTAGCATGGCCACTGGAGTCCTGAACAGAAACACTCCTACCAGGAATCTTGTAGCATTTTTGAGACAGATACATTGCAACATTTCAGATCCCCAATTTGCCATTTTGGTTTTGATACTCTCCCAAGCCAATAATAAATTGTTGCACCAGTAAATATGTCCTCCTTCTTCATGGTGTGGAGCCCATCTATGCCAGTGCCAGACTGGTCTAGAAGTTGCTGATGCTGGTGAATTTATGCCTCATGTGGGTGTGACGCCAGTGATGGTTTACTCCATGGGATGTGGAAGTAAAGTCCACCTATTGATGGCACTCTGTTCTAGGAGTAAGTCAAAGTATTATGTGCCTCAAGCGTAACATCATGGAGCATGGGACGTCCCAAAGTCCCAGAGGAATGCTTTGATTCTTGGGGGATCAGTGATGCTTGTGCCCATTGTTCTTTGGCTAGGCCTACCACTCATGACCATGAAATAAATACATAGAGTTGCCCCATACATCAATGCTTCTCAAGCTATCTAATGTGGGAGATCTATAATTCTTTTCTTCCCCAGTGTGCCAAGAATTGGCACCGTATTTGTGGCCATTTCTTCCTTTCCTGGAAACTCGGCAGTGATCAGTGTGCATCAGTGTGCTGTATTGATGGCATTGTTGTGCTAATGTGCATTTGTGCAATCAATTTGCACATCTCCAGGTACACACACACACACACACACACCTGGAAGCACTGTGAAGACTACAGTAAAGTCTCAGTATTCCTTACTGTGCTGGGTTAGACACTGCAGAGTACACTTGTGGTAACACATTCTGCTGTATGGCCACAAATGCAAAAAGAACAGTATAGATACCATATATACTCAACTACATCAATTTCATGTATTGGTCCAGGAGAAGTTTGGGGGCCAAAATTATGGGTTTTGATATGACCAGTGGATAAGTCAAGGGTAAAACTTAGGGGCATGTAACAAAGAATGTAAAGGACAAAGCAAAGGAAAACTATGCCAACAAACTCACAAAATACCGGCAGGCATAATTGTTTGTGCTCACCCTAAAGGCTGGTGCTTCTTTTAGTACATCTCCTGGGATAGACTAAGTTTTCACCTTTTGCCACGCTACTCAGAAAATGGAATGATTCCTTTTTTGATAAGATCTAAAGTACAGTACTTACACTGAAAAATTGACCCAAGTATTTGGGGTTATTTTTTAAACTAAAAATTCTAGATTTATACATGAGTATAAGTCTCCCCGGAGAGGGGAGAGAAGAGACAGGACCCTCTGACAACAAAACTTTCTTGACTACATATGGAGGTGGACATGCCCCATGGAACCCACCATAGAATGCAGATCAAGGAAATGTGTTCAATGGTCCGTGTTTCCGCAGCACAATAGACTTAGCAGTTGTGCTCTAGAACAGAGAATCAACAAGTTTGACGTCCCTTGGAGATTAATGCTTTAACATATTTTTTTATACAGAAAGTCCTGTTAACTGTACATATAACTGCTACATACAACAGAATAGTTTGAAGAAGAAAGCAAAATGTGGGATGCACGAGAGAACAAACACATCTGCTTTTGTGTCTGGTGGGCAGGAGCATTTTTCCACTTATCCATCTAAAACACAACCTCAAATCAAACGGGATGCAGTTTAGTCTAATCGTCTGTCAAGCAGTTGCTAACAAGGCTAAAATGTGGTGTTGCCA